ATTATTTTTTTTTAATATTTCTTAAACGTCTTTTTTTTAATACCTTACTTCTTTGATGCACTGTTTGCTTCATGTTTTCTAAAATTAATGCCTTTCTTTTTCCTAAAATTCAGTTAACGGACGTTCTCTTCAATGAATATCCACGCGTTCGGCTAGATCGTTTGCGACGACCTGCAAAATCTTTATGGGATGGTCCGCCCACGTTACCTGAGGAACCGGAAGATTCCGACACATGTCCTATGGACATAGCGCTGAATACGACGCTTTACAGTGAATTAGGTAAGTGAAGCAAGCATTTTATATTTTACAAAGGGAGAATTTAGTTCGATTGCTTTGTTTTAAACTCAATTTTTGGGGATAGTGTGTTCAAAAGATTTTTCTTCCATATTTGTTTGAATATCAGATGCCATTATCGCCACCTTAAAACTGCGGTGAATCGATCCTGCAACTAGCATAAATTGAGTAGTTTGGTATAGTAAAATAGTGGGGAAAAAGAGGAAGTTATACCACTTTCACTTAACTTTAACACTCTTGTATGATATTCAACTTCCTAACTTACTATCGCACCGACTTTCTCTAATTTTAACTTTAAGTGCGCGTACCATTAGGTTCGTGATTCTATGTATGTTCCCAAATTGTATAAGCAAATTTGGAACAACCCTTTTTTTTTTAAACATCAGCTTAAATGTAGACTTCTTATAAAAACAATAATAAAATCCAGTTATTGCCTACATTTAGGCTCATGGTGTGTAAATGTGATAAAAATTAAATCAAAAAAAGTTAAAAAATAATTATCTAAAAATATGTATGTCATACAAAAATTAAAAAGAAAATAATTTTCTAACAAAAAGTAAATAGGAAACTTAAATTTAAAATAAAACTTATGAAACAAAAATTCATCAATTAATTGAAAACTAATTATCTACAAAAGTTAAAAATAATATAAAATTTTAAATAACAAAAAATTAAATAAATGTTTTATAAAAATAATTAAATTTATTTTTTGTTTTTCTTGATTTATTTAATTTTTTATACAATATTTTCTTAGCTTTTTTTAATTTCTTAATTTTTTTAAACTTTTTAAACTGTCATAGATATCTCAAAAGCTTTAATATACAATATGCGCCAATATCCAGCTCAGCTGTTGCCTGAAAAATACTCGATCAAAACAGAAATGTCAATAAAATGTTGACAATGTCAACAACTTCTCCCAACAGCAGCAACAAACACAGCCGGCGCTTTCTCCCACATATACACACATATTACTAACTGTGTATTTGTGTTTTCATATGTTAAACCAGAGAACTTAAATGAACTTGTTTTAAGTTCTCTGGTTAAACGTGTTTCGTAGAGCGGGTAAAGAGAAGTCACAAAGCATAAATTCTCCAGCGATTGGTGTGCCATTGCCAAATCATTCCCTTCTCACTTTATACCTACGTGCATACACACAAGAAAGCATAAAATGCATTCAACATTACTAATATGTTGCAGCAAAATGTTGCTGGCTTGCGAAGTGTTGCTAAAATGTTGCTTGTATTTTTGTTCGCATATATTCGGGATATTTATAATTGCTTCGAGTTTTTTGCCATGCTTGCAGTTTTCCAATATTTTATTTTAATATTTTTGTTAAGAAATTTTAAAACTTTCGTCGAAATATAAAAATTTTTATTACAAATTTAAAATTAATTTCAAATTTTTTTATTTTTGTTTCGTTTTTATTTTTTTTTTCTTAAATTTTTGGTTCTATGTTATTCTTAAAATGTTTAACTTTTAAATTTTTTGTTTTTGATTTTTATTTATTTCTTTAATTTTTTTAAATATATTGTTTTTTCATCATCCCTTCCATTGTCTATTTCTGCTTTTTTGTTTGTGCAATATTATTTATTTACAATTTTCTCAATTCTTTGCTGTTGTTGTTGCTTTTGCACGTCACGCATGCACGCGCATCCAGCACAATAACTACGCCATCGCCGCCGCAATACCGACAGTCCGACAGACCGATTCAATCCCACACAATGTCGCCTCTGAAAATCGGCGATTTGCCTGCTGCAGTCGCTCAGCCGGCAAGCAGTCAACTGCCTTTGTGCCTCGTCGTCGATTAGCCGTCTCGATTGTCATTTAAAGTTGTTGTAGGTGTTGCATTTTTTGACGTATGCGTTCAGTTTGATTAACATTTCTGGTTTCAATTGTTGTCTTTATTGTTTTATTGTTGTTTTTTTTTTCTTTGGATGTACTAAAACGGCTTTTGTAACTGATTTTTATTCTATAGGAACGGTGAATGCTTTGTTATTAAGTATTTTCTTTGTTATAAAAATGTAAAAATACAGAAGTCTGGTTCATCCGCAACAAATACCATGTGCCAGTTTATGAAAATTATTAAAAATAAACAAATACCAAAAATGGAAACTTCTTATATTTTAAACTTTTTAAATCATTTTTTAATAAAAAATAATATTATTAAATGAATTATTTGTGAATTAAGAGTATAAATTTTTTTCGATGAACTTAAATTAAATTATTATTAAAATTAATTAAAAAACTCAATGAAATAATGTAAAAAAATATTTTAATATAAGTATTAAAAATGAAAGTTACATATATATATTTTTTTTAAATTTTTTTAAATGTTTTTTATTTTTCAGTATTAATAACCATTTAAAACTATAGTTTAGAAAATTTTACGTTAGTTTGCAATTTTCAATATTTTGTTTATTTTTGTTAGCTTCTGAAACTAAAAACTTTTTCCAATGAAATAAAAATTTGGTTTCTGACAGTTTTCAATATTTTACAAAGTTTTCATTGTTTCAGTTATTTATTTAACTATAAGATATTTTTAAAATATGTTTTGTTATATTCAAAGTAATTTTTTTTTATAAAGAGCTTCAACTACAAACGTTTTTTTTATATTTTCAATAAATTTTATTTGTTTTAAATTTTTTTCCATTATATTTTTATATTTATCATTATTTTTTTTTAATATATTTACATATTTTTTCGGTTTTGATAGTTTTTCAATATTTGAAATTCTTTTATTGTTTCCAGTATGTTACATTTATAAAATATTGTAAGTTATATTTAAAATATTTTTTCATAAACTTATTTAGCTACAAATTTATTTTAAATATTTTTAATAATTTTTTTTACATTTCAAATATTTTTAAGTTATTATTATTTTTTATATATTATTTGTCAATTTTTAATCTATGATTTCAGATTATTTTGTTATGAGCCATAATTTCAATTATTTATAGTTTAAAAGTTGAAAAATATTTTAAATAGAAAAATAAGTTAGGACAGTTTTAAAATTTTTCTAATAAATTTTATTGTTTTAAATTTCTTTTATATTTTAAATATTTTTTAAGTTTTTTAAATGTATTTGTAGCATAAAAAAAAATTTAAGAACTTAAAATTGTGTACACAAATTTCTTCTCAACTTAATATAAACAAAATTTGTACCGAACGGTTTTCAATATAATAAATATTTTTATTAAATTTAAAAAATATATATATATTAAATTAAAACTATTTTTAATATTTTTTCTTAGCTTTAAATATTGCTCATTTGATTTTGTTATTTTATTATATAATATTTTAAAATATTTATTTTTTATGTAAACAGTTTTTTTATATTTTTTCTTTAATATTTTTTTATTACTGACATTTTTATATATTGACCTTTTTATATTTAATACTGATTAATATTTTTTTTTTATTTTTTATTTTTTTTAAATTATTTTATTATAGTGAAAACTTGTTGTTATTATTTATTTTAATAATTTCATTTATTTTTCACACCTTCATGTTTTTCTCCTCTTTTGACGAAATTGAATAGAGTGATCTAATTTTGTTTTTGTTTACATCTATGCAAACCTTTCGAAAGTCTCACTAGTTGCTGTTTCCGCTTAATTTAACTGGAAATCACAAGATGCTCGCTGCACTGTTCTAATTAAAAACATACATACATACATATGTACGTATGCACATATCTTCATGAATAAATAAACAATCTAGATGGCGATGATCACTCATACGCAACGGAGCGCACACAATATGATATATACATACATACGTACATACATATGTACATTATATGCATATGTACATACACATCAATATCAAAAAATCATTTACTACGATTTAGTCGGTATTTTAAATAAAAAATGTTATAAAAGACAATTTTAAAAAATTTTAATATTAAAAACAATTAAAAAAGAATATAAAACAAATCAAATGAGTTCTTCCTATGTTTAAAAATTTTTTTTTCTTTTGTATTTTATTTTAATTTTGAAATCATTTCACAATTTTTTAACTTTTTTATTTACAATAAAATATTTTCTTACGTTTCGAGTTTAATGATAAAACTTAAAAAAAATGTAAATAAAACAAAGTTAAAAAAAAAATAAGTTAAAAAATTTATTTTTAAAAGATATAATAATTTAAGAATTTTAAAGTATTAAATTAAAAAAGTTAATAACAAATTTTAAATTTTAAAGATTTTTTAATAAAATAAAATATAAAAAAATTTAAATAAAATTTACTGAATTAAAATTTTAATATTTTTTTTTAAATTTCTTATTATAAAGAATATATTATATAAAAGTAGTGAAAACGCAATGTTGCATTGCAATGCACAGCAACAACATTCATTGGATTCAGGTGATAATCGCAAACAATTGCTTACATACATACATATTTACATTCAGACGTACTAACATACATACCTACAAAATATGTAGTATACATACATATGTATGAACAGCAAAAAACACTTGACAAAATAATCGACCAAATGAGCGCAGCTATTTTCAAGCTCTCTGTTTTGAATGAATTTCATTGCCACTGCGTTGCGGCCATAACGCACGCACACATACACACAACACACGAACGCTTTGGAAAATGCGAAACGTCGGCGCTTTCACACACACACACACACAGACATGCATTGGCCGCACACAGCCTATAGAGAACAGTTAGGTCAATTGGGCGCTGAGAACACTTGCTGGGGAGCCGCTGCGTGAAACGGAGCCCAAGCAGAGCAGTTCAGATTGAGTTTCCGGCGGTGTTGGCCGACATGACGGAACAAATTTCGTTGTAATTTTCACTGACAAAGCTACGCGTTTCTTAGCGGTGTTTTATTGTTTTGACTCACGCGTGTTTTGCTGTTTTCTGTGTGTTGTTATGTGTTTGTTGTATGCGGACACGGGCGAATGCGCATGCGAGTGAAGTCAAATAAACAAATAGCAGGAGGCGACCGCGGCAAGCAAAGTGCGCGTCCCTTACAGCAGTCAACTTGCGTACATGACTGATAGTTAGACGGATGCGCAGCGCACACGATGGCAAATTTGTATTTAGCGTAAAGAAATTTGTATGACTTTTGTGACATATCTGCGTGCTGGCGTACGCTGAAACACATTTTGAAATTTTGAATTTTCAATTTTCAAAATTCCACTTTAGATATTTTTTGTTTATGTGTGTGCGTATTATTTGCAAGCGAAAAGCGAATGACCGCGTACGCGCGCTGCGTGTGAACCGAAACAGTGCGCGCTGGCTTTTTTGCTGATATTTAAATTTTTATGAGCACAAATTGTCTGTAGAATAAGCGAAATTGTTCGGGAAGAAAATAAAAGTAAATAATAAAACACAAAATAGAATTAAATAAATAAAAGCAGGTACATACAGCTGTGTGAAAGTGCGAAAGTGGCAAACAATGCAACAATGCGCAGTGCTAAGTGGTTTTATGGGCGCTTTAAAATTTTTACTAGCGCTTGTGAGCATAAGCATTACAAAAACAGCAGCAAAACTTAAAATTATAATAAAATCAATTCAACAAAACTTAGTTTTTTTGCGCTAAGAACTGGATAAGGAGTCGTGTGTTGATATTAAATGTATATAAAAGATAAAGAAAAGAACTATGAAAAACAAGAAAAAAGGTAATTTCGGCTGCACCGTAGCCATAATGCGCTTTACAGCTGCATTTCTTACATTCTAAAATCGTATAGAAATATCTTTAACTTGATTTTGATCGATCAGTTTGAAAGGCAGTTATATGCTATGTTAAAGTGATCCGAGCTAAGAAAGTTGTTCGAAGATTATAGCGTTGCCTTGGGCAATAGTCCATGCCGAATTTCGTGTAAATATACTCGCATTGTCAATTAAAAAAGTTGATGCTGATTGATCAAATTATATGGCAGCTATATCCAATTAGGGTCCGATATCGGCACTTCCAACAAATGAGCAGCTTTTTGGGGAAAAAAGAACTTTTGCAAAATTTCAGATCGATATATAAAAAACTGAGGAAGTAGTTCGCGTAAGTCAACTCAGCTCGTCACGCCGATCATTTATATACCTATATACTTTATAGGGTCTCCGACATTTTCTTTTGTTTGTTACAAATTGTCAACGAAGTCAGGTCTTAAAACCTGCGCAGAAACTGCATTTTCAGTACCAAACCCTAGTAGCTATTCTTAGACCCGTTTTATACCGTTAAAAACTAACAACAGCAAATGCTTTTGTTCTAAGACACTCTCTTAACCTAAAAATATGATAATATTTATAAATATCATCGTCAAATCTTCAATGCACAATCACTGAACTCTTTGTCTTTGCTCCCAGCAGTTTCAATAATCTACCCAGGCCCGACATTAGAGCAACTCTTCAACTCTTTCAAAGCGTTGTATTTTCCGTTTTGAATCCAAAACGAAAGAAACTCTAACTTCACAGGCTCAGAGTATTTCTACAATGAGTCATTTGTTCTAAGCCAGAAGCTCAGTGACCACGCTTTCTACGAGTATATGCTAATTTAGACTCCAGAATACTAAAAAATAGCGAAACTACTTCACTATCCACTAGCTATCTTTAAGCCATACTTTTTATGGTTCATGAACCAGCAGCAGTCGGAATTCAAGATAGCGTAATAGAAATGTATGAGTTTATTCTTAAGATCCGGAGACTTGATATCCCCGACCTTATGTCTGAAATGTTCTTGTTTTTAATAAAGAACGCTATAGTGTATTGATTTCAGTAAGTTCGATTGTCTGGTGCAATCCTAAGCATTTCTCAAAACGCGTCAGGTTATCTTAGTCCTTTCGATGAATACGAGTGATAACGTCCAGTATTATATTTTGTGGACTTAACTCTTACGTTTACCAAGAAGCTTTTTTATTTCGTTTAAATAACTGTTCTAAGTGTTAAAGACAATGTTAAGAGATTTGGATCTCAGTCCGTAGCTTGACATAAAGTACTTTACTTTTTTAAGCTACGGACTGAGATCCTTTACAGAAAGTTTTCAGGCAGGCCAAACATTGAGTGAAAAGTAAGAAAGGCATCCGTTGCCTTATACTACTACAGAGAATCAATTGAAAAGAGGTGGAAGCTCTCACCAAAGGTGATATTTTGGCTCTGCCAAACCGTAGTCAAGCCAATAATGGTTTATACGTTATTCGTTTGGTGGACGGCGCTCGGAAAAGCAACGCTCGCTAAGTAGCTTGAACGTGTTCAAAGAGCAGCTCTCATTGGTTTTTGTTGTGTACTACGAAAAACAGTAACAATGGCATAGAATGCCAGTCTTTACATAGCAACTGTCGGTATAGCTGGACGGTGCATCGCTGCGATAGTCGCTGTAAGACTCATTGAAGATGGGTACTTGAAAGAGTCCAACTGTGACATCCTGAAATACTCACATTCTGCGATTGCAGCTCTGAAAACTTAGATCACTGCATCGCAGAGTTTACTATCTTACACTCACATACCGATAAGGTATATGTGGACGGAGAGAAGTCGTGCAGAAGAGGCGCAGTGAACCTTTTCACGGATGGTTTGAAATTTAGAGGAAGGGTTGGTGGTTGGAAGAGGAGTTTTCCATAAGGATCTTTCTCTCAAACATAGTTTTATGCTACCGAATGTCTGTAGCGTTTTTCAAGCAAAGGTAGTTGCCATTAAGCTAGCAGTAGTCCTTTTAAAATATATGTATACAAATGATCAGCGTGACGAGCTGAGTCGATTTAGCCATGTTCGTCTATCTGTTCGTCTGTCTGTATATTCGCGAATTAGTCTCTTAGTTTTTTTTGCACACGTCGTTTTTTCCGCAAGAAGCGGTTAAGTTGTCGGAACCGCCAATATCGGGCCACTATAGCTTATAGCTGTCATACAAACTGCATTATTCTCCAAGGCAATGCAATAGTATTCGAAGATATTTTCTAGATTGGACCACTATATCATATACCTAGCTGCCATATAAACTGAACGATCAAAATCAAGAACAAGATCTTTTTATACCCTTTTATGCTATAAAAAATGCACATGTAAAGGGTATTATGGCTTTAGTGCAGCCGATGTTAACTTTTTTTTTTGCTTTGTTTTTTAATTTTGTATTATTTATTTACTTGTTGACTGATTTTTATAATTTTTTTTTAGTTTTTGTTTTTCTAATTATTTTACTATTGAATTATTTTAACTTATAATTTTTTATTTACAAAATTTTTTTAATTAAAAAATGTATAAAAATATTTTTAATTATTTTTTTCTTTGCAAATTGCATGAATTAAGAAAATTTGACAAAACAACATAACTCAACTTAAAATTTTTATTCTTTCAAAGTGTAAAATGAATTAATCTTATTAAATTTTCAAGCACTTACTTATGCAAATATGTCATTTAGAGACCTATAATCATAAAACTTTGTTTCGATTATTTAATATACGAGGAAAGAATAAATTCATTTTCGTGAAATTAAAACCAGCTTAAAGCAATTTACTTGTTTTTATCAAAAGTCTGCAATTACATGTTTTATATGCTTTATTTAAATATTAAAATTTATGGAATTAGTAAAATTCTTTCAAGCGACCACGGAAATATTTGTGCCACCAACGGTGCGCCGTTTAAGGTGTCGCTTTCGAAATTCTTGCTTACAAACCCTTATATGTGTGTTGGCCATATGACTATACATATTCATATGTATGTACGTGTATGTTTGTGTGAGTGTTTGTATGTATGTTTGGGCTTATATGTGTATGCATGTAACAAGCAAATTGAATGCGACGCTTAATGAGCGGAAATCAACTGCCTAAAAGCACATAAAAAAAATTGCAAAAAAATCAAAAAAAAAAAAATAAAAAATTTAAAATGTACAAAAAATGTACAAAAAGACTTAAAATAATTTAAATACAAAAAAATCAAGCAAGCTAAAACAGCCAATGAGTAATTTGCAGTTGTCGTTGCGCTTTTTGTCGCGCAGCGTATGTGCGTGGCTTTGTATTTAAATACACACATACACATTTATATACGCATATGTTTGTGTAAATATGTATTTATGTAATTCTGTGCGCTAATGTAAGCGGAAATCGAGAATTTAAAACAAAAACCAACAACAACAAAAAACGGCAACAATAATGAAAGCACACCAGAGGAAATATTAATGAGCACAGCCGTAACTAAAACAACAACAACACACACATAGCGAATGTGAACGCCAGCACGCAGAGCGAAAATTACGAAAAATAAAGCAACAAAATGAAGCAAAAATTCTTGAGCCAAACAATGCAAAGCATTTAACTGCATTTTTGTTGTTTTTGCTTTTGTATTTTTTGTTTTTTTTAGTTAGTATTTAACCGTTTTTTTTCTACCACAGCAGTAAATAACGGAAAAAGCGCACAAGAAGTGCGACGAAGTGAAGTAAGATAAAAATAAATAAATAAAAATAAAAATCAGTGGCAACTTCGAAAAAAGTGTGAAAAAGTGATAAACGGAAAAGTGGCAAAAAAGTGTTTTGTGCAAAAAAAAAAACTTGACAATTGTTGGTGTTGTGTGAAGCAGCGGCTAGCGTATGGCTGTGATGTGGCAAGCGTCATTATAAGCAACCAACAACAACAACAACAAAGGCAGCAGCAATCATAAATGTTGCATTTGCATGTCAACAGCGCTGCGCCGCTTTGACAGTTAATTTCGCGCTGTGTCTCAAAGAAGTTGCAGCAGCAGCAGCCGGAACAACAACAATAACATTATAATTAATATATGTTGTTGTTGTGGTGAAACTTTTCCAACACACACACAGCACAAAGGTGTGTTGACACGCCCAAACTAACCGTTTACAAAAGCGTTGAGCGCCAAATAGCGGTGGCGCAGCTGCAACGCCTGCAATTTAGTTTAAAACTAGCGGTGTATTAGTGCTTACAACAACAATAATAATTTTTTTGCCGGCACACTAAACCAAAGTGCATATATAACTATCTTATACATACATATATAAGTAGCTAGTGATCGCAACAGCAACAACAACAATAATTAGTTGCTCATTGCAGCAGCAAATGCGCCGACGCCGACAGCAGCGCAACCTCAACTGTCATTAGTTGACGTTTTAATTGCGGCTTCGATTTGCATTTTAACTTAGCAATACAATAGCGTTAAACAGCAACGACAACAAGAATAACAACAACAACAACAAGCGTTGCAAAAAACCCATACTTGTTTCCTTCAGCATTGTCTGTGCGCACACGAAAGCGAAACGAAGTATTAAACAAAGAAAAGTGTAAAAATTATATGCTATATTGCTGGTGTTGTTGCCGCTAACTGCAATTCATCAGCAACACACACACATATGCGTGTATACATGCATGTAGCTGCTCAGCTGTAGCGCTAAAAAGTGCTTTAACGCTTGTTTTTGTATAGGTAAGTGTGAGAATCGCATTATTTTATCTCATCTACTGCAAGCTAGCTAGCTCTGGCTTGGGAATCTGTACTCAAAGTTGACGTGTGAAATGACAAATTATTCTAATAGATTTATCGACGCGTTAGAAGAGTGTTGTGTAACGCTTTTTTTTTTTACAATTTTGTTTGTATGCGATAATTTTTTGTGTTTAAGGGCTTGTGGGAAACATGCGATGGCTTAGTCATAGCAATAAACTAACAACGTAATTTTACAAAAACAACAATATTTACGGTATAAGCCACTTCTTAGTTTAGTTATTACAAAAAACGCTCATAACTTAAAAATCGTTTGTATGCTACTTGATTTACAAAGTTATAGCAAAAAATCGAAATTTTCGAACAACCGTTTGTTTGAAAAGTGTATGCTACAGTTGTACGAACTCGATGATTTTTACTGTCACTTGTTAGTTCATACTAAGATATTCCTTCGCAAAATTTCGTGCCATTAGCTACATGATTGACGAAGTTATGGCAAAATATCTCATTTTTGAACAATCATTTGTATGGTGGCTGTATGTTATAGTGAGCCGATCTTGGTGATTTTCGCTGCACCATTTTTATTCATACTAGGAAAATATCTCACAGAATTTCTTAGTCGTAGCTATATGATTTACAAAGTTATTGCAAAATATGTAGTTTTCGAATAATCGTTTGTATGGTAGCTACATGTCATAGTGATCCGTTCTCGATCATTTTCACTGTAGACTTTTTATTTATATAAATAAAGAAGCTCACAAAATTTGGTGATCTTAGCCATTTAATTGAGAGAATAACGACAACATATCTCATTTTTAAACAATCGCTTGTATGAAAACTATATGTCATATTTCACAAATTTTTGTGTCATTAGCTACTAGATTTGCAAAGTTTTGAAAACACGAATGAAGTTGTGATAACGAAAAAATTCGTTCACTTTCTGGATAACTTGTTTAAATCAAGCAATATCTTGAATCTAAAACTTTAATCGATCAGAACTATATTCTCCAATTAAAATTGCTTCAATGTTCCTCGCGACCATCGAGCTTAAGTGGAAACTACTCTAAGTAACTAATAAACTGAAATACAAAATGAAGTGCGCTTTAATGTTTCTGATAAGAGATTTCGACCGAAAAAGTATGTACAAATATTTTACTCAAATCAATTGCATCATAAATATTAGCCGTTACACATCTACATATGCATATATGTACATTCACAGCATTCTGCGGCTCTTGACCTTCTCCACTTTGTTGCTTCTTCCAGTCACTCATTACATCTTCATGGTTACTTTGTGCCGGCACTTCATAGTTTTGTTTTTATTTTCACTTCTGTTTATTTGCCAACAATTAAAGGTATTAAATGGCAACAGTTTCTTTAAAGACAACAATAATAACAGCAACAATCACAATAACAGCAGCGACACACAGCGTTGAAATGCCCATTAAACAAAGCTTTTATTTGCATCCAGCTGTGTTGACTCTGCAGCGCGCTGTTTAGAGCCAAATAGTCTGGTGTTGGGCAAAATGTATTGAACAAATGCTTTTAACTGTTTCCAGCAATGAGTAGCGGCATTTTTCTTTGTGTGTGTTTTTTTTGTATTTTTTTTTGTTTTGCGTAATGGGGTTTCAATTAGTTTTTTTGTATATGTAGCTATTCTTTTTATTACGATTTTTTCTTTAGGGTTTGGTGCCTTTTTCATGGTTGCCATTAAAAATTTACTCGTAGTACGACCGCCTAAAATTTATAAAAAAGTAAAAGTTGTTGAAAATGACATTATTGAAAAAAATCAGACCGGTTTAATTTTATATTACATACCTAGGCATTTTAATTATTAAAAATTAGATTAATTAAATTATTTAATTTATTTTCTTAAAAGATTTTTATTTTTATTTATTTATTATTGAATTTTTAATTTTTTATAACTTTGGTTTGCCAACAAGTTTGTAACACTCAGAATGTCCGGCTGTCTTTAGAAGTCCCCAAATGTTTGCGATACTGATCTGAAATTTTGCACCTGTCCTACCTACCGATATCGGACCACTATAGCATATAGCTTGCTACAAACTGAACGTTCGGAAACAAATGCTTATATGGAAAACTTTTTTGTTTGACGAGAAATCTTCACGAAATTTGGCATGGATTCCTGTGTAAAGCAATGGTGCAATCTCCGAACAAATTGTTGAAATCGCACTACTACATACAGCATATAGCTGTCATATTTACTGACCGATCAAAACTAAGTTCTTGTATGAAAAACTTTTTTATTTGACAAGATATCTTCTTGGAATTTCACTTTGATTATTATTCAAGGCAATATTAGAATCTCCAACCTCTCAATAAATTGTTCCGATCGGACCACTAGAGCATAGAGTGGCCATTCAAACTGACCGACCAAATCAGCTCCTTATGTGGAAAACTCTTTTGTTTCGACGAGATATTCTCACGAAATTTGGCATGGCTTATTTTTGAAGATAGCGGTTTAATATCCGAAAAATTTTTTTAGATCGGACTGCTATAGATAATATAGCTGCCATATATACTCACCACTCAAAATCACGTTCTTGTATGAAAAACTTTTTAATTTGAGAAGTTGTCTTCACGAAATTTGACATGTATTATTACCTAAGCCAATGCTACAATCTCCCAGTAAACTGTTCACTATATTCACTGCGTATTATCTATCTATGCCATGCAAACCGACCGTTCAAAATCAAAATAAATATCTTTTTTAAACCTTATATGCTATAAGAAAGGCACGTGAGATGGGTACTATAGCTTCGGTGCAATCGAAATTTACGTTTTATTTGTTTTTAATAAATTTATAATTTTTTATTTTTAGTTTTACTTCTGATTTTAATTATATCATGGTTTTTTTATTTTCAATATATTTTTTATTATATTTTTTATATAAATTTATTATATTTTGTTACATTATTTTTCAGCGCTTTTCTATGTTTGTATCGATTTTTGATTTAATTTTTTTTAATTTGATTTCTTTTTTTTGGTTTTAAATTTTTTTCTTTTATTATTTAATTTATTGCGAAACATTTTTGTTGGCTGTTTTGGTTGAAATAATGATAATATTTTGATTTAATTTTTATTGTTTATTGTATTTAAAAAAAATTATATTATTATTAATTGAATTTTTATTTTTGTTTATATATTTTATTGTACTTTATTTATATTTGTATTGTTATTAATTTCTTTATTTTACTTTTTATTTATTTTTTAATTAATAATCTTTTTATTTTAATAATTTTTTTATTGATTTCATTTGTTTTTAATTTTTTTTAAAATTATATTTATTTTGTTATATAATATTTTACGTGAGTTTATTTAGTTTTCTTTCATTTTATGATGTTTGCTTTTATTGTATTAACTTTTCATTAATATTTATATTTTATTTATTTGTATTTTTGAACTATTTGAAAATTTTTTAGTTGCATTTGACTTTAATTTATTTTGTTCTTTTCTTTTTTATTGTTTATGTTTTTTTTAATTATAATGGATTTTGTTTTATGTTTCATTTTTTGTTAAATTTTTTTAAATTTAATTTGTTTTTATATAACTTTAAATAATTAATTTATTTATTACACTTCATTTAAGTTTTTTATTATTGTATTGTTATTTAAAAAAAAAAATTTTAACTTTTTTTACATTTTTTTATTAGTTTTTTAAAATTTTTTAATTTTTTTTTTAATATATTTAGATTTGGTTTGTTTTTCATTGTATTTTATTTTTCTTAAGTGCTGTAATATTTATATTATTTTTTTCTTATTTTTGTTTTTCAAGGAACATTCAATTGAACTCAATTCACAAGTTCAAATTATTAATAAAATAATGTAATACACAATATGAGCATTTCAACAATTGCATGCGGCGTCGAAAAAGATAAAAATAAAAACAACTGCATTCGTCAGCGTAAACTTACAAATTTTCTCAGGCAGCACTCAACTGCAAAGCGCATTTTGTTATGCATGCATTTATTTAAAATAAAGAAATAAAAGTTCACACCAGCACACAAAGGAATAGAGAGAAATATTTACATATATACATATCTATATACATATATTATATATCTAAATTTGTATGTATGCTTGCAAGTATGTCTGCCTGCAATACAGTTTTTAATTTTTTCATACCCAAATTAATTGCTGTCCGCTGTTGGTTTTATTACTATTAAAATTGTTTTTGTACTTTTTTCAATGTGTGTGTAAATTATTTTTTTCAATTTATGCAAATTAATTTCGGTCGAGCGTAAATTACAAACGGCGACGAATTGCGCCGGCAAACGCATTGCTTTCAATATACTATAATATATGTAATATGTACTGCGGTGTATATGTACTTGTGTGCGTGTGTTTGTGTATGTGTGGCTGTGTTTGTGGCAAACCAATAAGACAAGTATCTGTTAAGCCTATTTACATATGTATGTACTCAGTTACATATATACATACATATATAGCATACTTATTGTACAAAAACATTCACACACGAACACACAAAAAGACTGATCAGTCAGCTGGCCTGAGCAGCAGCTCGTTCATAAAGCGTCCGATCGCCAGCAGTGCACGAGTTTTGTGTGTTGCTAATTCTCGCTATGACACTATTTTTTTCTAGTTTACAACTTTGTTGTTGTTGTGCGCGTAGTTGTCTATTAATCAAAAAAAAGTGTCGGCTTAGAAGTATTTCAAGGTTGTCATAAAAATAAATTAAAATTAAAATATGCTATATAGCAATATTAAAAATAGCAACAAAATGTAAATTTAAATAGTCGCTATAGTTGACAGCGGGAGGGTTGAAAAATATTTTAAATGAAATCGTTTGCGGGTGCTCAAGCGAGTTTGAAACATATATACTTTGACTATAATAACAATAAAATATATAACACTTTGACTATATTAAAAAAATATTAGAAGATATCAATTTACATAAAAATTATAAATGTTTGAAATAAAAGTATTTATATATATAACTTAGGT